GATAAGAGCCATGACCTGGGCAACTAAAGACCTCTTGTGTGCTGGAACAGGGTGGATAAACCTAACCTGCATGACTTCCAACAGTCCCTGGAGAGCTTCTTCCCATGGCTGGGCTGCACACACAGCTGGGGATTACTGCCCTGGGGTGAGGCACAGAGCAAGCTGCTCCTTTTTCCTCTCTAAGTGCATAAAATTCCTCTAACAGCTGTAATTTTTCCCCTCCTCCCTTTCAAAGATATAGGTGCTTTAGTCTGGGTTTGCAGGAAGGAGGGAAAAAGAAGTTCCCGATGGAAAAAAAATCCGTTTTTCAAAGTGCCCTTTGGATATGTGCTCCTCCAAAAGTGACCCTGGAGCGCTACTGAATAAACCTTGGTGGAACTACTAATTTACAGGACCTATTTAAGCCCTGTGGGGAGTCATTAAGCAAGGATATACACCTATGTTACCTATCACCGTTGTGAATAAACTGATGTCTGCTTTCAGTGGTAACCCGGGGAAACCATGGCAGGGGAATGATTTGAGGGACAACCTGGCAAAAGCAAATCACGTCAGCATGAAGCTCAGCAGAGCCAAGGGAGTTGTTTTCAGTAAAGATTTAGGGAAAAGTCACAGACCCAAGAACTCGGTTGTTATTTGATTTCATTTGATTTGGTTTGTCCTTTCTGCTGCATCTCTCTGACCCTCTGATTTTGAAAGAACGAGGAAATTCGCATCACACTAAATTCTCTCATCTCCTCCTGCTCAGATACACAGCATAAAGTAGGATTTTTATTGAGCCGATTGAGATAGGCTGATAATTGGCTTTTTCATCCCCAAAAGTGTGACTGAATTTCCATGAATATCTGTTTGTCGTCTTATGAGCTTATGAAGTCCTATCGCCAGCCTTGATTTGCCTTCTGTGCCCTGCAAAGCCCTGGCTCATTTTAAGGCTTCATATGTGGGACTGAATTAAAGTTTCCTTTGGCAACAGATTGCTAAGAGAAAACTAGGATGAAAAGTGTGGCAAAAGATGTGACTGGCTAAATGGGCTCTCAGCAAGACCAAGTGACCTCTGTTGGGTCTGGGAGACCCACTGTGCACATCATACCCATGCAGGAGGAAGGACAGATTCTCCTGTTGTTTCCCTGGCTCTTCCAAGACCAAGGAGACTCAGGGAAATTCTCCAGGAGCCTGGGCAGGAAAGGGCCTTTGCTAGCAGCAGATCCAAGCTGTGAAGGCAGCTTTGGCATGTGACATGGAGCAGCAGGGAGCAATCAGATTCACAGCTCAGAAGCCTACACAGGCTTTGCACTTCTAAGAACTGGATAAGTCAGAGCATGGATTGCAGTCACATCTTTACATCCATCAGGCAATCAAATATCTCAGTTGCTCCTGCATGAGGCTGAGTGTCTAGGCAGAGCCTTCTGCCCAGAGTTCACCCTTAGCCAGCATCCACCTCTTCGTGATTTTATACAGTAGAGTGCAGCCCAAGGAAGTGTGATTGGTGTCTGTAGGGTGGCCTTTCTAAGGGCATACCCTGCTGTTGAGGAGACCTGTGTAAATCGGAAATTCACCACCTTGCATGGCTGGTTCTGGAGGTTAGGGGGTGCTTTGGGCAGTGGGATTTGCTCCATTAAGGAAAGGGAGAAAAGCTTTGACTAAATTAAACCAGGAGAAAGTTTCAGTCTCTCTGCAGATGGAAGGAATCCAGGCTATGTAGTGTTTATTTTTCAGCTCTGCTTCAGGTAGAAGCAGGGAAGTATCTCTGAGGCACTTAAGGACACAGAGTTCACAAAGGTGCTCACTGACAGCCACAGCTGTTCTAGTCCCACAGACACTAGAAATTTCAGCACTGTATAAAATCCCATTGAACACCTATATAAGTTTTTCAGCTCCTGAAGGCCTAGGATGTGCAGTCCTAGGATTCCAGATCAGCTTCTCTCAAAGCCAGTGGGGAATTTTCTCTTGTCTTTGCAGAGAGGTGTTGGAGGCATCAGCTTCAACTGTGTTCAAAGCCACCTGAAAACGAAGTCCTGCTGAGCTGCCATGCAGAACTGGCCGGGATCTGAACTCACAGAACCCAGAAAACCTAACATTGGAATACAAAGGGTTCACAGGAGGGAGATTAGCTTCGTGGCTTTTCCTGTGCTCAGGAGTTTGTGCTTGCAAATAATTCTTTCCCCAAATTAAAACCTGCTGCCTCCAGAAAAAATATTGAGTTTTTTTTTAACTATATGAGAGTTGTGGTACAAATGAAGACAGGGGAAAAAAATCGTTAAATATAGGCTTTCATGAAAAGCATGCAATTTTTATAATTTTATCGTAACAATTCATAAAAGGGAAAGTCAATACTATTCTAGACAGTTTCTCGAGTTCCTTGCAGACTGTACAATACAATTAAGGAATGAATCAAGGTTTGAAAGAAAGCTCAGAAGAGACTTTTTGAGCTCTATGCAATTATATCAGGCAAGACTAATTTACAAATAGGGCAAATTTTCTGAAGAAAAGCCAACAAACTCTGAATTCCAGGTGTCAGAGTTAAGCTTTTCCCTTTACCAATTTCCAAACATTGTTCAACAGGCAGGAAAGAAGGACATTCGGCAGCTACAGCAATAGAAATAGCCATGCAAGACCACAGTGCTCATTTCTGAGTCTGGTCTGATAAGTTAGCCCAGCTGTACTGTGGAGGCTAAATAAATAAACCCAATTCTTTACAAGTGCAAATTACTCTCTCAGTAAAACTGTGACAGTTTGTACCAGATGAGAACTTGTTTCCTGTTGCTTATTGACCTTTCTAAGTGTCCTGAGAAGGTTCCAAAAGATAAGTCATTTTTTATACGCAGAGGGCCTGATGTCTGTTATCTTTCAGAAAGTAGAGGTACTTTAGAAAATTACTATATATATTTAACAAAAGAAGCCATTAACAGCTTATAATGGTGGTGTATATCTAGGAATTTCCTCAGGAAGTTATCCATAGAGGAGTTCTATTGTTATTGCTAGCATAAACCAAGAGAGATGCTCTCAAAGTTGTGGGTTGCTAGAGACAAAACTCAGCTGGCATTTTTGTTATATTCATCAAGCTCTAGAGCACATACTGTACAGAGATTTGATCTAACTAAAGAAAACTTTGGCAATAACAGTGCTGCCTGTCTTTGCCAAAAGAGGAATTGTATTTTTCATAAATTTATGAAAAAAAGAAATGCAAGTGCTTCTAGCTGCATGTGCACCTGCTGCCCATATGGTCATGTGCTACTTATTTCTTCATTTTGTGGGTACTGTGTCGTATTCTGGGTGGTTTGGTTTCCGCCCTTAACCTCAGCTCTAACATTTCTGCATTGCTCCAGAGCAAACAGAATCCAATTTGGATTTGGTTGCACGGTGAATGCCTGAGAAGATGGAGCACTTGTTTGTAGATGAGACCTTCCTAGCTCTTAAGTCTGCAGAAGTATGTACGGTTGGCTTAGGGTGCAGGACTGCCTCTGTATTTTAGGGCACTCAGATGCAAGAGTAATATGGTTATTCAGGAGAAAAAAAGCTAGAATTTTTGGAACATTACAACAAGGGCCAAACTCCCTCTGGTTTTGGCTGTTTTATTGTTTTAATTGATTTATTACTTTTAATAAAGCTGCTTCCATACTTCTAGTGTAGCATGCAGTTTAACTACCATTAATATTTTGAAATTTTAAAACTGTCCCAGTTTATGCTACATTATGGCCTGTTATGCTTCCAAGAGATATGAGTTATCACAGAAGCTTGTGGAGAGGAAAACCCTGCCCATCTGGTGACAGTGTCTGTGTACCCTTGTGGGGGTACAACCATTTCATTGCAGACAAACAGGCAGGCAGAAAATCTCACCTACCAGTCAAAAGATTTCTTAAGATGTGGAAGTGAAAGACATAAAATCAAGAAGTTTTCTGTGAAGAGGTCAAGGACACTCAAAATAGAGATCCTAATGTAGGCACAGGTGTACCGATTCAGTTCCTCCAACTATACAGTTCCCATGTTTTTAGATCACTGGAAAACATGAGAGAGAAAGCATCCTTCTCAACAGCTCGAACCATGGGACGTTAAGTCAATGGGAAGACTTTAAGGGACTTCTGATTTGGTCTGCACTCATCACAGTGATGTGACAAACTTCCTCCTGAGCCCGGCTGTGGAGAGAATGTTTTGCTCTTGGTCCCTCTGTACTGATGAGGAGTTCCCCATCCCCTCAGGTCAGCCTTGACACAAACACACAGACAGAGCTATAGGTGCCTCTTCCTCCCCAGGCTGCCTCTTGTTAAACTTGTTTCCAACTGGGTTTTATAGACAGCACAGAAAACACACAGAAAGACTTCCTGCTTTCATTTGACACAAAGAGTGACTTCCACTTGATTCAATTACTCTTTAATCTGATCCTCCATTTAATTTTATCAAAACTGTAGTAATCAAATAATTTGTACTAAAAACAATATAGCTTCCACTTGTTTATTCTGATCAATTTTAATCCTTTAAGGCACAAGGTTTATTGGATAATTTGATCAGCAGATAACAAAAAGCTGTCATTAAACCTACCAGGAAAGGCCATAACACACACACACACACACAAAAAAAAAGAGTAAAGAGATTCCAATGAGAGCTCATAATAAAGAAAAACACAGTAATATACTGTTATTTAGAAATCATTCTATGCACAATGAAAGCTAAGAAGTCTCCTGCTGTTCACAAGATAAAAAGATCAATGGTGTATGTCGGTCAAGATATTTCTGGTGATGAACTGCACTGAAAAGGGGAAGACAGTAATTGAACGCAAGAGACTGTCTTTCTTGAGGCTTACCCATCTGAATGAACGCATGTCAATGTTGCTTAAGCTTTCCCTCTGTACAAAAGGCTTCTTTTTCAAAAGCCAAAGCCATCAGAGTAAGTGCTTGGAAGAGATTTCCATTGCATGCTGTTTGTATCTTGCTGTGTGAAATAAAGTACAATCTCTTGGTTCAGTGACTGTTCTTATCTCTCGACTGTGCCACGTCTCTTCCCCACAGGCCAACACCTTCATCTCTTTCGTGTTCCCCATGGTCGTCATTTCTGTGCTGAACACTATCATTGCCAACCAACTCATGGTCATGTTCAAGCAGGCTGCCCAAGAAAACCAGGTTTGCACCATCGGAGGACAGCAGACGATGCTCAGCATGTCCATGGAGCCCAGCCGGGTGCAGGCCTTGAAGCACGGCGTGAGGGTGCTACGTAAGTACTCGCACACTTTGATACCGAGCAGACTAGAGGTGTCTATGAAAATGTGCTTTCAGGAGTAACAGCCTGAAAATGGTAGATACCTTCATTCAAAACTTATCTTCAACAAAAAGTAGCTTTTTTGAATCCCCCAAACAACCCCCAAATAATTTGTCATTTCCAAAATTGTCCAGCTTTGTTCTCATAGCCCTAAATTTGAGGAAAAAAATCTTTTCTTCTTTTGTTAGCTTTCTTTTTCTTCAATTTTTTTGAGGAGGGAATTCTAGGGAATTTTACACTCTATTTTACATTTTATTTTCTTTTTCTCTCTTAATCACTTTTCTCAGTCCTAATCTTCACTTAAAGATAAAAGACAATTTCATACAGAGAAAGGGAGCTAGAGAGCGAGCAATATTGTGTTCAATGAAGCAGGAGCTGGAAAATGAAAATTATGAAATAGAAACAATCTGAAAATAAGCTTTTCCACTTTGTTTTCTACTCCTGGCCAGCTCCATCCTGAATATCTCTTTTTCACTTTTTTTTTTTTTTTTTCGAAATGAATGTATCAGGAGACTGGCATAAAACCAGACAAACTCATCTGCGGGATCGGTTTTGAATAGATGGGCTCTATCTCGGTGGGTAAGTCAATATGCCAGAGCGAAAGAGGAGGGGAAATGTAGCAAAAAGTGAAGGGTTGTAGGCTATGCACCAGGGCCAGGGGATCTGGGAGACACCAAGGCAGTGTTTTTTCCAAATACAGCACAACAAGGAGCCGTGGGAGAGGCAGAGGGCTTTGCTGCAACTAGCTTCAATCCCAATTTAGAAATGCACTTAAGTATATTCTTAAATTCATTCCTTTTCCAGAGAGTGCTTCATTACAGACTTAGAGCTAAGTATGTATGTAAGTACCATTCTCCATAGTTATGCTCTTCATTAATCAAAATTTAAATACCAAGTTGGCTTAATGATATCTCCAGTTTTGCTAACAGACTCATGTGGGACTTGGATCTGTATTTAGGGCCGTATGTAAAACTTTCAGAAAGCATGAATTACCTGCAGAATGGACCCAGCACAGGATTTGCAGCCAGGTTAACATTGTCCAAAATGAATCAGACGCGTAAACTTCCCTGAGCTTTTATAAGTGGAGGCTTTCAAATCTCAGTATTGATGGGTTTCTATCCTTTGCACTCAGTGAAAAAGAACTGCTGTGAAGGTGTTCTCTGTTTTGTTAAAGGTGTATGGAACTATGGAAAATCAGTTTTCCTCTGAAGATATACACAGAGAAGTAAAGGGATTGTCACAAAACAATCACAGTTTGACTCACATTTCAAATTTCCTCTCCTTTTTGGAAATGTGACCAAATGACTCAGATTTAAAAAAGAAAAGTTTTTTCATCAATTCAGTCTTCTCCTAATGTTTTTCCTCTTCAAAACCCTGACTTTCAATTGTTTCAAATATGAAACAATGCTAAAATGTCATTCTTTATGTTGCTTTGCTAACAAAACATTTTTCACATAATCCCATGTACCTGATGTTCTATAATAACCCAGAGATGACTTCACTCTATACTTGAAAACTTGAAGTGAGACAGTGACAGCACCAATCTCTGTGTTCTGTTCAATGACACAATTAGTTATTTCTGTGTTGCACATAACCAAGGTCAACCCATCTGAATCTTCCATGTTGCTCTGACTTGTACAGCAGCACATTGCCTTCTCCCTTCAAAAGCTTCCCAAACCAGCCTACATAATGTCATGTAAGTGCACTACTCTAAAAATTATATCAAATAGGGCTAAATATTAGGGCCAGTCTGTGACAGGAAATGACTGGTATCTCCTAATAAGTATTGACCATGCTGGGAGAGGTTCCTGCTTCTCCCAAAGTCAACTGCCTGGCTATGGGGACGGTGACTTGGATTTACATTCTTTCCTGGGAGTCAAATGTCTTCTTTTAACATAACTCTGTAGATTTCTTAAGGGAAATACATGGGCCTCTTTTCTTCTTCATTGGTTTCTTCTTTTTTGGCTTGCTCTTTTAAAGAAAACTCCTTGAATGCTACAGGGCTCATGAAATTTTTAAATGGTTGAGGTGGATGACAAAGGAGATTGAGCAACACGATGTATTTTTTTTCCTGTCCTGATGATCCATGCTGCAGGCCAGAACTAATTTCTGGGATTGCTTTTGTGAGTTGCAGTTCACCTGGAATGTCACAAGAAAGACTTTTTTCTTATTCCCAAACTAGATTAGTATGCATCAGAAATTTCAAGAAAAAAAAGGACTCTTTTTGCAATACTTCTAGCTGAATTTTGCAGCCCTTTGAGGACAGGTTAACTAAGCATTTTTCAGACAAATTCCCAAGCTCTGTTCTGGAAAACATCTTCATACGTATTCCACATGCAATGAAGCGTTCACATAGATACACGCAGTTATTGCAGTTAAACAACATTCATAGGCTTTAGCAGAAATATCCATTTATTAAATGCTAAGGTGGCTATTCCTAACAGTACGGAGAAATTAGACAAAGTTGTGATTGATGCAGATGAAGACAGAAGGGTTTTTTTTTAATTCATCCAAAAAATCTCAATTAGAGTGATCATAAATCATATTTTCCTTTTTGCCTTTATTCATTGATATATGAAGCTAAAGAACAGATCTGCTCACACATGCAAACTCTCCAAGGAAGAGCTTTCAAATCTATTCAAAAGCAAAATTGGCCCAGCATTTTAATGATTTGGTCAATAGTCACTTAAGCCTTTCATATAGGGTTTTATTCCTTTTCTTCTTCTGCGGAGCTTTCATCCAGACTAAGGTTAAGCCAAAAGTCCTGAACTCAGGGATCGGTTTGTGCAGTGAAATACTGGATGTCTTTGTTAAATAAGATGAGGAAAACACTAAAGTATCTGTAAGTTTAAAATGACAGATGGAAGAGCAGAAGCTGTTCAAAAATAGTATCCAAAATAGCTGCATGGCACCAGAACCTGCCTTGGGGCATGAGGCTTGCAGGTGTTGGTGACATCTTTTCCAGTTTCTTAACGTGTCTTCCTCTTTCTGTTTAGCTGCCTTTTCTCACTTTAGCCACAGCATCTCACACTCCTCTCTATCTTTTCGGTGTTTTATACTCTTTAACATGTGGGAGAGTAAGCTCTTCATGAATAAAACCAGACACCTCAGCCCATGCAGTTCCCAGGGCCTAGATCAGGAACATGTTCCTTGCAGTTGGGCCAGTCAAGTGGGCATGAAGTGGGTGAGATGTAGCAGCAGAAAGCCATGAGGTGCATCCTTGAGGTGACCTTCCAAGGCCCAGGCATTAGGCACAAGCATAAGGCACAGGCGCGAGGTGAGGACACAAGGCTCGGGCATGAGGTGCAGATGTGAGGCAAATTTATGAGCCACATTTATGAGGCACATCCATGAGGCAGAGCCATGAGGTGCAGCCCTGAGACAGAGCCATGAGGTACAGCCCTGAGGCACATCCACGAGGCAGAGCCATGAGGTGCAGCCATGAGGCACAGTCATGAGACATATCCATGAGGGACATCCATGAGGCACACCCCTGAGGCAGAGCCGTGAGGAAAATCCATGAGACACAGTCATGAGGCACAGCCATGAGACATATCCATGACGGACATCCATGAGGGACATCCATGAGGCACAGCCCTGAGGAACATCCATCAGGCACACCCCTGAGGCAGAGCTGTGAGGAACATCCATGAGACACAGTCATGAGGCACAGCCATGAGACATATCCATGACGGACATCCATGAGGGAAATATATGAAGCACAGTCCAGAGGAACATCCGTGAGGGTTATCCATGAGGCACAGCCCTGAGGCACATCCATGAGGCACAGACATGAGGCACATCCATGAGGCCCAGCCCTGAGGAACATCCATGAGGGCTATCCATGAGGCTCATCCATGAGGGCTATCCATGAGGCTCATCCATGAGGCACATCCATGAGGCACATCCCTGATGCACAGCCATGAGGCACATCACTGAGGGGCATCCCTGTGGTGTCCTCAGCTGTGTGCATGAGGAGTAGGCACAAGGCACACTGTGAGACCTGTCCCTGAGAGCATCCCTGAAGCACATCCCCAAGGAACATCTATAAGACACATCCATGAGGGTCACCCATGAAGGGCATCCATGAGGGGTGTCCCTGAGGTACATCCATGAGTTGCGTCCATGAGCAGTAGGCATGAGGCACATCCATGAGACATGTTTCTAAGGATCATCCATGAGGCATATTCCTGAGGTGCATCTGTGAGGCACGTCCCTGAGGCACATCCATAAGGCTCATCCATGAGGCATAGTTAGGAGGCACATCCCCAAGGTGCAACCCTGAGCTACAGGCACAGAGCACCCAAGCCAGTACTTAGGTAAGAAAATTTGCAGTTTGTGCTGTGCAGAGTTGTTCACGACAGCAGAGCAGTAAACACTTTTCTTCCTCCCTCCAGATATAATGAGATAATGTATTTATTTACACCAAAATAGGAGCTAAAAGTGGTTATGCAAACAGCTTCATTCAAAGCCTTCATATCACCATTTTCCTCCTTTCTCCTACTGGTTATGTATTTTCTTGGCTCTGCCTGACTTTTGTTGTGTACAAAATTATTAGGGAGATGAGGATCAAGGAACGTGTCAGCCCTGTTGCCTGTGAGCCAGCTCATTAATCCATTACGCGTGCCGATTTCTGATTGCAAATCCTTCGCCACTCCAGCATTCACCAGGTGTGAGGCTTCAAATTCAGGCAGCTTTCCAGATCTTTTGTGAGGATAACTCTGGGTAGCATCTGTCAGCGTCACTTCTGAAAATCTTTTCCAGCAAAAGAATCCTCCTTCAGCCAACTAATATTCCTTCTGTTCCTCCTATTCCCACCAATTTTAATATTTCTTGGTGATATTGCAGCAGAGACCAAGAATCTGAGTCTCTTTAGCACTAAGTGATGCTTCTTGGAAGGGTGAATCTTCTCTGATTAAGTATCTTCATACACCACTCATTTCACGAGGTAGAAA